ACTTCCAAAAACATTCAGCTTTGATATTAATGAGTTTTTTGGGTTCATTGAGAACATGGTTGTTGTTCAATAATAACATTATTCGTCAAGAATACAACTTGCCTAATAATTCTGCACTCCCTGTATATGAGTGTAGTATAACACACTATTTTCAGCTTTATTTGTGTAACAGGGTAAAATAACAAAACTACATTAAATATTTAATAATATGCTTATTTTTTCTGCATTTATTACTCTCAAAATACGGTCCGACCTTCAGTCAAATCAAAACCACAGACAAACACAGATTTCAGATGTTTGAATAAATTGATGAAATAGGAAGCAAAGAGGTGCTCCTCCAAATAAATAGGCATACATATGATTAACTTGCAAAGTCTACTCTTTTCAATAACAAATGGTTGGTGTGGGCAATGTTTACAGGACCTCAGAAGAACTATACAGATGTACAAAGCTGAAAGAGGATGCAAAAGCACTACTAAAAATTGGAGTGTTCCTGAGTCTACAATAAGACAAACAAGCCTCATCTGTTTTTCATTATTAGATCAGAGGAAGAACAACACTGCAGAGAAAAACTACAGCTGTGAAGCATGATGGGAGCAGCATTGTGGATTGGCCTGGGCACTTTGCAATCACTGAGGGAACAATATGCTGAAAATTGTACCAAAAAGCTTACAGGAGCAGGTCAGGGCAGCAATCCATCATGTACTGGTTAGGAGGGGTTAGGTGAAGCAACAAGTAAAAGACCACAGAGCATAAAAAGGAAATCCATACCTTAATGGGAAAAGAAAATTAATCATTAATGGCCACGTGGGCATCATAGCCTGCTGTGGCATAACCTAAAATGGGCTGTGCAATCTATACAACCCAGAAATATCTCAAACCAATTGTTGTGGAAAACTCAAAAGCACCTAGAGGAAATATTTGAAATTAGTTGCTTTCACTAATGAACAAATACATTTAATTTTACTAAACACACATTTTTTCTAAAGTACCAAGGGTACTTTCCAGCTTACATGGAGATTATTCAATACACTTAATTGAGGAGGATATTAAGTATAACTGGTTGTGGGTTTTTAGTCTAGGCAGATTGCGCTGGAATGTACAAAATTATAGGGCAGACCACACTGCATGATTATTCAGTATAGATATCTTAATAATTCTAAATCCTTCCAAAATGTTTTTCTAGCAACCATATATATATATAATGACCATGCATGTAATTAAATGAGCTATTCACATTCATAGCATTGCACAGTGTGTTGATAAACACAAGATGATCAGTTAATAATCAATTTACAGTTCCAATAGCATAAAGCATCATAAATTTGAGGTGCAGGGTAAATACATTTGTAATCTAAGTCCCACAGTTTCTGTGCTACATAAAGGAAATCTTACACAGATGAATGAACGGATACATGAATACATGCATGAATGGTAAGATTTGTTGACTTAAAGTTTCCATGGGTTTAATGAGTTGAGTAATAGTTAAGTATTACATGCACTTTTTCCCTCTACAGCATAGGTGTCAAACTCTGGCCCAATTACATTTGGCCCGCGAAGCCATACCAAATTACTATTAGAGCTGGCCTACTGGTATTATACAGCTAATATATATATTGTTTAGTATTAAGCTTTGCTTGTTCCATATTCAGTTTTTCAGCAAAACGTGTTTGAGTCCATAAGAAAAGATTCATTCTTATATCTGGAGGATATAAGATATAATATATTTCAATATTTATTGAAATATATTTCAATAAATATTAACGTTAGCCCGCGACTTTGATCCAGTTTTGAATTTTGGCCCACTGTGTATTTGAGTTTGACATCCCTGCTCTACAGCAACCAAAGGAGGAAAAACAGAATATATTAGCAAACTTGCCTGATTTATGTGCACTTAATGTGCTTATGATAGTCTATACTGCATTTCGCTGGCAGTTTCAGCACATCTGGAGAGGTGGAGTGGAGGAGAAAGGTAAAATGAAGACAACACCAGGGGAGTTAACAATGACTGGTTAGGCATTTTTGTGAAACAAACCTCTGGCCCACCACACTGAATCCATCTTTTCTTTTTAGGCAAACACAAATTGAGCATTTAGAAAATGTATGATGTAAATGTATTCATGATATGATCTGCTGGTGAAAGGCAATATATTTAGGAGGGGTCTATCACATCTGTCAGTCAGCCTGAAACTTATTATGTGGTCTGAAGTCTCTTGAAGATGCAAAAAAAAAAAAAGAACGTTTTTTGTGGACCTTGAATTGAGTTTATTGCCTAGAAAACATGAAATGCTCTAAAACTGAAACAAATTCTGTGGCATGTACCATTTTGCTTCCTGTGCAGTCAGCCAGCTGTTATAACATTGGAACCAACTTGGCTGGAGTAATACATAGTCTATCTACTTAAATAGGTGTTAAGCTAACTGTTGTACATACAATAGTTTCTTCCAAGTGAACATTATTACATTGCAAAACCAAAACACAATCTTGTATTTGCCAACCCACAAAGTATACTGAAAAGGGAATTTCGTTTTAGCTGTGGTGAGGCTCGGTATGAGAACACACTCTCATACTGAAAGCTACAGCTAAATAATTAAAGGGCAATCCCACCCTGAAATGGATTTCACAAATGCTACTTGTTTGTTCTCTGACAGCTCAGCCTATGTGTGAACACTGGCAACTACATTCCAGAGAAACTAATTAGCCAGTGGTCTGACAGACTGAGAGGAGTTAAGTATGAGTTTCACTGGTCTGAATCTCAGTACAGTTAGACAGTTGCAGGGTGCACAGTGAAATGTGGTAAGTTAAGAAAGCAATCTCACTACCCGAAACAAGATTAATGTGTTATTAGTGTGTTGCAATACAATTCATTAAAAACAATGATTCTTTAATTGACAAAACTGAATTATTATTCAAAATTGCACCATGATTGCATCTAGTTAACGTCTTTTTCAAAGCTACTACTGGGAAGGTCACACACATTACTTTCTAATTGTTTCATCTAGCAATGTGGCTCATAGAGCTGTTTATAAAGACCTGACTCATGAGATTCAACCACACACATCATACTTTGTAGTGGTTGCTCACATGGTCAGATAAAACAATATGTATATTATGATTACCTGTTTTTACACGAGTACATATTGTTGGTACGTGTGTGCACTGTTGGCATGTGGATGTGTACTGTATGTTTATTTACCTGTTTTGACAGCAGTAAAGCAGTGTGTGTCTGTTGTCTTGTATGAGCAGAAGAAGCAGTAGTAATGCTTTGGCTCTTGTTATCGTAGACGGACTCTCTAGACAACGCAGCACTTTCAAAACCAAATCCTAAAAGCAAGGAAATTAAAATTATTCCTCAAACAGATTACATCCTCTGGCAACATAGCTAGTATTGTGTGTTTGTGTAGGATTATGGGAAAATGTGGTCCTGGACACATCTACTATTCTATGAATTGCAACCAGGTTTCCAAAAAAGATCAGATGCTCTGTAAGATGTAAAGAAACAAAAAAAAGCTGAACGCAACAATTTTTGCTCATTCTGAAGCTACACACACACAGACAAATTAACAGCAGACAAAGTACTGTGTTACTACAGAAGATGTCAAAAGGACCACATTCTGCCACACACAAACAGACTCACTGTAAAACCAATACTTCAAGTTGACTGGTGTTTTTGGTGGTGTGCAACTGCTAATTATTCTGCTGCTGCCAAAACCCCCTCAAACCAAAACAAAACTAAGCTTTGTAATTAAGACAAATTCATATATAGTCAAAAAAGTTTACAGATTTTAATATTGCTAAGAACAAATTGAAATTGAAAATGTTAATTTGGTAACATAATAAGTACTCTGGTAAATTTAAAGTTTAAAGAGAAAAAAGTACTTTGCTGTCCTAATATCACCTTATCACAAGAAACAGAAATCAACAGAAAAGAGAAAAACATCCAAACTAATAACATGTTCATTTCTCAAATTTTTTTTTCAGAAAATGTACGTATAACAAGCTAAAAATTAATCAGCCCAGACTAGACACACATACACAAACTCGCATGCCTACAGCTACAACAACTATTCACTTAGTAGCAGTAACTGGTTGGAAAACATTTTGACTGACCACCCTTCATTACCATTATCATAATCACCAGCACCACTGAATGTGTGTGTGTGTGTGTGTGTGTCTCAGCAATGAGAAAGCATGTGTATACATGTGTGTTTATGGAGTTACACACTAAGTTAATTAATTTCAAAAGCCCAGTAGTGTGTGCCTTGCTGATAAGTCCCACCCCACTACCCATAATGCTTTGCTGAAGTAGAAGGCTACAGCATGTTCATTCAGCCAATTAGCCTAGATACTGACACACTCAACAAATTAACGCTTCTGCTTGAGTGTACACACACACACACACACACACACAGTCACTCACTCACATGCATGTACACATACACACACACACTAACAGAGTTCTGTGTAAACAAACTCTTGGTCTGTCTGTCCTTGTGCCAAGGGAAAGTGTGGGGGGGAGGGGATTGGAGGGTGAATGCATATCATTGTATAATTAGAGCAGAGCTGAAGTACTAAGTTTGTATTCTGGTGTTAAATTGGAAATACTCAATGCAAATAAATTCAGTTCAGAGTCAATTACCAATGCTAGACTTCAAGTTAAAACCTTCAAATCAATTTCAGCTCCTCTGCCTTACCAAGATTAGCACATCACATATACACTTGATGGACTGTCTTGTGAAAAATTAAATAAGCAATTCCTGACAAATTAGTTCATGAACAGTTCAGCATCAGTTCATGAACTGTGTGGAAGAGAGAAAGAGAGTGGTAAAAACAGCGTGAAGACGTTAGGAATCTGAGAAGTCCAGTTTCGTTTGTTCTTGGTGTTGTTGTGTAGTTATCCAGGAGTGTTTGTATCCCTCAGCCACTGTGTAAAACTCTCTAATTAGAGACATTCCTCACATGAACTAAAAATCAACGCTTTCCTTGTTGTGATGTTACCACCAAATCATCTGTCAAATAATGCTCTAGCAATTTTACCACAATGGTTGTTTGTGTCTAGGTTTCTGAGACACACCTTTTTGTTGCTATACATTAAAATATACACTCACCCAATACTTTAATAGGTACACCTCGCTAATAATAGGTTAGACACATTCTTACATTCAGAAATGCTTTCATTGTTTGTGGCACTGATTTATATAGAGTTTATATAGTGAGCCAAGAAAATACGCTCTACACCATTACACCAAAAAACGTTCTTTCACATTGTTTACACCAAATTCCTACTTTACTCTACTCAAAACACTGGATCTACAAATTGTGGAAAATTATTCTGAAAATGTTCCACAAGTTGTACAATTCCAAATATTGTGATTAGCTCATCAACTCCAGTACATAATATCATCAAAGGCTTCTGAGAATTGGAAAAAATCTCTATGTCTAAGAGACAAGGCTGAAAATCAATATTGGATGGTGCTCTTCATGCCCAATACAGTTCTCTCTCATGGAAATAACTGCATGGTCTCAGGAACACTTCCAGAACCACAGTTCACTGTGTCATCAACAAGTGCAGGTTAAAGCTCTGTCATGCAAAGAAGCAGTGAACATGATCCACCACCTTCTGTGAGGCAAAGCTCATTTAAAATGGACTGAGGCAAACTGTTCTGTGGTGTGGTGTGTTCTCAGATTAAACAGTTAATAAGTCTTCTTTGTTTTATTCTCAATAAAATACAACTTTATGAGATTTGCAAATCATTCACCCAGGGAAAACATGAAAATTCCACACAGAAAGGCCCCATCCAGGTGGTGGAGATGAACCCAGGACCTTCTTGCTGTGAGGCAACAGTGCCAGCCACCGTGCTGTTCATATTTTTATAGGTTTACATGCCTAACTGTACAGACGTGTTGCCATGTGACTATCAAATTAAATATTTGTGTTAAGAAGCCGTTAACCGGTGTACCTAATGCTGTGGTTTGTACGTGTAGCCGGACGTGTTACACAAGTGATACACATACCCTGTTCTGTGTTACACGGTGTGTTTGAGTGCATGAGGTGAGCAAGGCAGCGGCCACAGCAGTGAGCAGGTGCTGCTGGACCCGGGCTCCTGAACCCCCTATGCCCTCCAAGATGGCTGCTGGACCACAGGTGTCAATTACTGATAGGAAGATTGCTGGGACCACCCGGGTTAGCCTAGAAAGAGACTGGAAAAACAGAAAAAGACACACACACACACACACACACACACACACACACACACACACACACACACACACACACACA